TGCCAGCCTTCTCCATTCTCAGTCTGTTAGAGATATCTAAAATTCTACATGAGGGCAAAGTCACAGAATACGGTGCCCAGTATTCTACTTCTGCCCAGCCACTGTTTAACACAGTTTCCCCCATAAGCACCTGGGAGAGTTTTTTTAAAAGTTTGCACAAGAAGTAGGGTGTGGGACTTCCCTGGTGGTCCAATGGGAAAGACTCCCCGCTTCCAGTGCAGGGGACCTGGGTTCGATACCTGGTCAGGGAACTAGATCCCACATGCATGCCACAACTAAGAACTCCACATGCCACAACGAAGATCCCACGTGCTGCAACTGAGACACGGTGCAGCCAAAATAAATAAATATTTAAAAAAAGAAGAGGTAGGTTGTGAGAGGTGACAGTACCAGTCACAGCTCACGATGGCCAGGGAAGTTAGGGTGTTGGGGCTGGTTGTAGAAACAACTTTGACCCTCAAGGGCAAAGCCAGGGATGCCCGCTACTGATAACGGTGTTGAGGGTCGGGGAGGTTGATAGCATGGAATCCTCCCAATACTCCTGAATTAAGTGGAATGGCTGGATTAGATCCTCTCAGGTTTCTTTCAGTCTGACATTTTGTGACTAGATCATCGACTGGCATTGGAAGGGCCCACGTTTCTATCCCTTAGTTTAGAAAGCCTATGACACTTTCTTCACTGCCTTGGCTCCCTCCAGCAGAGGGCGGGCGGGGAGAGTATTGACTGTAGCCTCACTAGAAAGCAAGGCTCTCTGCTTTGAAGAAGCCGCAATCACCTAGAAAATGGAGCCGTCGTCTCTAGTAACTACAATTCCCAGCGGCCTCCACGCAGAGCACGTGCAGGAATGTGCCAGGCGCGATAGCATATTCCGCTTTGCCTTCAATTCCCGACGTGCTTCACGGTGCTCTTAGGCTTCCTAGATTTCCTACAAGGCCAAATTTCCTGTTTCTCGCTTGCTTTGCAGCAGCGGACTACAACTCCCAGCATGCAGAGAGGCTAGATTATCGTTGCGCGTCCATTGTACCATTAGACTACTTTTCCCAGAAAGCCGGGGGACGCGGTGGGGCGGGGCTTAGGTCCCACGTGCAGAAGGGACTGGCGGAGGCTCCGGGGCTCAGCGGGAAGCGGAGGTGAGAACAGCGTGGCCCGGACGTTTTGGCAACTCTGGGCTGGTCCGGGAGCGGGAGCGGGAAGAGCCTTCTTTGACCCTGGCATGGCTCAGTCGCTTCGTCCGAGGTCTCCCTGCTTCGGAAGCTCGGAGCGGGTGGTTGCTGAAGACTGCTGGGGGATGGACATCACCCGTACCTAAGATGGGGCCGGCGGGGCCTTTGGAGCCGGGGTCTGAGGGAGCAGACGCTCTACCTCACTACCTAGCACGGCGCCCCAGAGCGCGCCATGAAAGCCCTGCTGCGGAAGGGCACCAGCCTCTCCAGGGTTTGGAGGGAAAAAAGGAAAACATCTAGGGGGCTGGCTTCTGGGATCTCCTCCCAGAGCTTCAGATCTTGAATAGCTGAGGTTAAGGGACGTCTTGCAGCAATCACGCAGGAGTCTCGGGTCTTAAGATTGTCTTTTTTGAGGGCCGCACTGCGCGGCCTGCGGAATCTTAGTTCCCCCACCAGGGTTGGAACCCGTGCCCCCTACAGTCCTTCAGTGGAAGCGCAAAGTCTTAAGCACTGGACCGCCAGAGAATTCTGCTTCTATCAAGTCATGAACTAGGGCAAGTCTCCAGCTCTCAGGGCCTTGGTTTCCTCGTCTCCTGTCAACCTCCCGCGGAGAGCAGTGTGAAGATCAAATGCTGGGAATAGTGAAGTTCCCAGCATTAGACCTGTCACATAGTAGTGCTCCCTAAGCATTTTTTGATTCTGAATGGGAACACCAAGGCCCTTAACATTCATCCAGCATTAATTAAAAATAATATTAGGTTTTTTCCATATTGAGAAGTATAGAGAAGAGAAATGACCTGATATCTCACTGTTCAGATAAACCAGCTGATGTATTATTTTAAAGGTACGTGGTTAGAAAATGCAAACGTTATGGAAAGGAACAAGATGGAAAGTAATAGCCCTCCCAAACTTCCTTATCTCCAAAACAAGTACTTTATTTGTTCCCTGTTGCCTTCTTGTAAATATTTATGTCTGTGATAGAATATATATTTTTTAATTTACCCAAAAAAGGATACTATCCACATGATTCTGTACCTTGCTTTGTTAAAATGTTAAAAATAACTCGAATGACAGAAACAACCCTGTAAAGTTTTATGGATGATGAAACTGAAGCTCAGAAGTTGCCTAGGGTCACAGAATAAGTTGATGGTGGAGCGGGGACTAGAACCCAGGTCGTCTGATTCCCAGTCCAGAGCTTTTAATGTCATTAGAGTGCACTTTAATTGTACTTTGAAGTTAGGCTTTATTCTTAGCTATGAAACAAGGTTAATGGTACCTCCTTCATCAGTTGTCCTTGGGCTTAAATGAGATGATACAGGAAAGCACTTAGCATGGCAACTGGAAGGTAGCAAGTGCTCAGCAAACTGAAGCACTTATTATTTTTGCCCTCAGTTGTCCCACCGCCCCATTGGTTTAGTCCATTATCCAAAATTGGGAGGCTTAGAGTACATACTTAGTTTGGAAATGTAGGACTCTATAATCCTAGAGTCTGGCTCTGGGTCCTTTTCCTTTAGAAAAGCAACTATCTTAGGGAGAAGTGGTTATTTCCTTGATTGAGATTAGGAATTGGACATTTTGTAGGGACATTTTAATCCCAGTTTTTATCTCTGCCACCTGTTTGATTGTTTTACCTTATAACTGCCTGCTTTCTGGCTTTACGCCAGTGTTTTGTCCATTACTTGTTTTCTTTCCATCTTGCTGTTGGTGCATTTATTAAATAACTTTTTATTGAGTACCTACTACATGCCAGGCCCTGCTGGGATCTGCTGGATTCAAGGGTGATCTAGATAACATGGTCCCTGGCCTCAATGAATTTTTGGACTTTGAAGTCAGATATATGTGGCTTTGAATGCTGATTCTCCCGCGTAGTAGCTTTATGACCATTGACAAGTCACTTAACTTCTCTGAGTCTCTATCGTCATCTGTAAAGCGAAGATAATATCTTGTGAGGATTCAGTAAGATCAAGTCCATTGAGCCATGAAGTAAGTGCTTAAGAAAATGTTGCTTCCCTTGTTTCTTTGCCCCTTTCTTTCTGTCCTACCCCAGAGCCGACTAGGAAGATTTCTGGGTCTTTCACCGGCCAGGGGATTTCTCACAGTCTCCAGCCATGCGGCTCTCTGCTCTGCTGGCCTTGGCATCCAAGGTCACTCTGCCTCCCAATTACCGCTATGGGATGAGCCGCCCAGGCTCCTTGTCAGACAAGAAGAAGAATCCTCCAGGGACTAGGCGGCGCCCGGTGGCTGTGGAACCTATCTCTGATGAAGACTGGCATCTGTTCTGTGGGGACAGGGTGAGAATCTCAGATGGGGTAGGGTGGCGGGGTGCTCCTGGGCAAGGATCTCCTTCCCTGACGGTCATCTCTTCCCACAGGTAGAGATCCTAGAAGGCAAGGACGCTGGGAAGCAAGGCAAAGTGGTTCAAGTTATCCGGCAGCGAAACTGGGTGGTCGTGGAGGGGCTGAATACAGTAAGTGAAGAGTGAGGATGGCGATGCTCAGGAAGCCTGTGCCATCCGTCCCTGTCCACTAAGAGCAGCACAGGGAGGCCAGAGACTGGCTGAGGGGATGGTGAGACAACTGAACCTTCTGCTTTTCAACTTGAATGCTCTGAGTTGTGGTAGACAAGCCCCCTTCTCACCTCCTGGGTTCTGATAGCCCTCTCCTCTTTTGGACAGCATTATCGTTATGTTGGCAAGACCGTGGATTACCGGGGAACCATGATCCCCAGCGAAGCACCCTTGCTCCACAACCAGGTCAAACTTGTGGATCCTGTGGACAGGCAAGCACATGGGGCTCTGGTCAGAGGGTTTCTTGCCCTCTGAGTCCACACAGCTGTTGACCATGTTTATCCAAAGGGGAGTGGTGGGTTGGATGTGCTGAAAATTGAGAGGGGCCATCCATGACCCCCCATAGGAAACCCCAGTGCAGGGGTAGCAGAGAAACAAGATGGTGACCTTAGTGTCCTTAGTCATTGACTTTCGGGTTGGAACATAGGAGGGAGACCTAACTCCCTGGCTGGCCTCACTTCTTCTATCCCCTAGGAAACCCACTGAGGTGGAGTGGAGATTCACTGAGGCAGGAGAGCGGGTACGAGTCTCCAGAAGATCAGGAAGAATTATCCCTAAACCTGAATTTCCCAGAGCTGATGGCATCGTCCCTGAAACATGGATTGGTGAGGCTGGGTGAGGCGGCAAGAAGTGGGGGGGGTGGGAGGAGTGGGAGTAAGGGATGTTAAGAAGCCCTCCCACCCATCTTCTTTTCTCTGGCTCAATAGGTGGCCCCAAAGACACATCAGTGGAAGATGCTCTAGAAAAAACCTATGTGCCCCGTCTAAAGACACTGGAGGAGGAGGTGATGGAGGCGATGGGGATCCAGGAGACTCGGAGACATAAGAAAGTCTATTGGTATTGAGTCTGGGGAGAGCTGCTTCTCCCCTCCTTGCCTTAACCTTGAAGATTGGGGCCACCTCTTCTTCAGACTCTAATAAAGAGCCTTGGGTCCTCCGTGTGCAGCTGCTGTCTTTTGGTAGACTGGCACCCCTAACGCCTGTTTCAAGGACTGAGGGAGGGAGCATCTGTCCTGATGTTATGACAAAACCTGGATAGAAGTTAGCCAGCCTTAAGGTGGTCCTCCCAAAGGGCAGGGCCTGCAGATTCTGGGATGGAGATCTAAGGGAGAGACAGCTTCCCTCCATGGAGACCTCTGAGTAACAAGGTGCTACCTGTTAGGGAAGACAGTGGGGGTTGGGGATGTGAGACCTAATTTAGCACCTCTGCAGGATTCGGTAGGGAGGGTGCGTGTCTGTCCTTTTCTGTACTTAATAGAAAAGACAGAAAAGTAAAGATTTCAATTTTTTAATAAATTAAAAATAACTTTTTGCATAATGTTACATAACACACAGAGGGAGAGAAAGGGTATGAAGCTGAAGGTTTGTAGGGAACCAGGATTCCACGGAGGATGCTGGTTCTCTGGCTGAGGAGGTGGGTGAAGACTCCGCCACCCAGTGTGGTACCTGGCAGTTTCAGATGGGGTCTGAGATATGCCCTTCCTCAGGCTGTGTCAGCTGTCTTCAGTCTCCAGAACAGAGAAGGTCTCACCCAGAGGCCTTTTGGTGGCCACCAGAACCAGGTTTCTCGGAGAGAGTTCGGGGCTGAAGATGGGCAGGAGCTCAGCATGGAAGCCTATGAGAAAGGCAGGGCTACTCAGAAGGGGAGAAATGAAACAGACTCTTAGCCACTTCCTGCTTAGCCTGTAGGCATAGCCCCTTTTCCCCATGGGGGAGGCTCCAGGGGGTCTAAGGAGACCCAGCTCTCTCCAGGGACATGAGTGCCCGAGACACTGACTTGGGAGGAGGCAGTCTGCAGCACATCGTAGGTTCTCAGTGCCTGGGATGCTGGCTTAAAATGCACCTCAGGGAGGTACCACCACAGGCAGATTCAGTAGGAATTTGCATTAACAAGTTCCCCTTCCCCCATCTGACTCTGAAGCAGCTGGTCTGAGAATCACCACAGCAAGGAACCTAGTCCTGGCAGGTGCAGGGGCCAGGACCTGAAGGAGAGCCCTAGAACTCCAGCCCCTCTTGCCCTGGGTCCCTGCTTTGGCCACCCTCACCCTGCTCCTGAAGGTAGAGCAGCCGGTCCAGTAGAATCAGTGTCTCCACCAGCGGGGCCAGCAGCAGGGCCAGGCTGAAGAAGGCCACCACACGGTTCTCCTGGGCCTGGTGGGCCCGAAGGGCAGCCAGATTCAGCGGCAGGTGGGGGTCAAGCCCCACCCGCTGGAGCCCCCGCTGCACGTATCTGTGGGGTCAGCCACAGACAGCACTCAGTTTGGTTTTAGAACCCTCCTCCCCCATTCAAACTGTCCATTCCTAATTCAATTCCAGCTGTAATAGATTTGCCACCCTAAGGCATTTTTAAATGTTTTTCTGGCTGTGAGCTGTCTGTCCAATAGCAAATCAATCCAAAAATTTATTTTCAGCCTAATCTGTCCAATTATTTAGCCATATTTTTAGCATTTCAAAAACTTGATAAAAGAGTGACAACTGCCTTTTAAAGAAAGTTTGAAGCTGCTTCAGAACTCAAAATCACTCCCCTCCTCCCAGCACATTTAGATTTTCTTCAGGACATGCTAAACAGTTGAGGGTGGGAGGGGAATCATACCTCCAGTAGGTGATGCCCCCCTCCTCACGCCCCCCCAACTCCCCAGCCTCACTCTTCAATCTTGAGCTCGTGGACCCTGGGGATCCCCTGCACGCCTGGCCGACGGAGCTCGGGCCGGGCACGCCGGATGACCGTCTCCAGTGCTGCCCGGTAGCAGTGGGTTCGGAGGCCAGGGCCTGCTTTCTGCAGCCGCTCAGCGTATTCCTCCAGGGCGTGGCAGGCCCCCTCTCGTAGCCTGTAGGGCAGCTCACGGCCGGGCAGCCCAGCCACCCACTGACTCAGTGGGTAGCCACCGGGGTCACTCAGCTTCATGTAACAGCAGCCCACTGAGGCCAGGGCCGCCACCTCAGGGCGGCAGAAGTGCCTCAGCAAGGCAACACTCAGATCCCCACAGGCGTGGAGGCCTGTCAGCAGCAAGCGGGCCTCACTCTGAGGTGAGTTCTCCAGTGGAAGCAGAAGCTCCTCACACAGGGCCGTGGGGTCTACCCACCTAACCACATGGTGGGGGCGGTGGCGAGGGCCAGTGTGGACCACCTGTGGAGGCAGGACAGAACAGAGAGAGGCAGATGGGAAGCCGGCTTCCCGTCCCCGTGCCACCTCAAGCCACGGGAATGGATCTGTCCTCTGAGTTCCTTCCCAAGGAGGAAGGTGGGGGAGAAACTGGGGCAGAGGAGAAAGTGGAACTTTAAATCAGGAGATGGGATAGATTCTGGGTCTGTTATTAGTAACTGCAGGTCTTTTCGTCTGAGCTTTCTCATTTGATTGGCCACTTTTTACAGGTGGCTGTGAGAAGGACGTATCGGTGTGGAAAGCACTTTTTAACTAGAAGGTGCCTTTCAGATATGAGGAGGCTTTGGTGAAGGAGGGACCTTGGGAAAGGGGTAGCAGAAATAGAGACACGCCATGTCAAGCTGAGAAACTTAAAAGAGGGAATTAGCCTTGGTGCCCAATTCCAGCCAAGCAGACCCTGCTCTCACGGTCCTGGCTGCAGGAAGGGCTGGTCTACCTGGGGGTTCCTCTTCTCCTCTTTCTGCAGAGCCTGCAGGAGCTCCTGGTCTAGGCGCTGGGCTCTCTCCACCAGTCTCTGATCCCCTTCAATGCTCTTCACCATCAGCCCCAGCCCCAGGGACATGAAGCGGGAGAGATGGCCCTGGAGTCCCGAGAGGGAGGGTGGAGACAGCCCCGTTCAGTGTCCTCTCCACTGTCCCCCTCCCTATCTGTGGTTTGGACGCCTGGGTCCTAGGCCCCCAAAAGGCTTAAATTCTGCCCAGCTTGCTTCTACCACTCCTTAGCACGTGCCTCCCTGGGCCTGTGGCCCGATAACCTGTCTTCCAGCTGTTCTATCCCCACGACAAAAAACCAGAACATTAGGGGTCTGGCTCACCTGGCCTGAGCCTACATCCACAACTTGGGTGCAGCCTGTGAGGTCACTCAGCTTCTTCACCAACTGAAAGAGGAGGGAACAAAGGTCTCCTGCCATTGGTGTTGGCTCCCAGGGCAAACACCCATAATGAGGGTGGAGGAGCTGAAGATGGCAGAGAAAGATGGGTAGAGGGAAGAGACAAGAGACATGGAAACCAAAATGGGGTGTGCTGACCCCAGGCTCAGGCTACTGTCTTTGCTCCTCTCAGGCTAGTGATTCAGTCTCCTCCACAGAACAAGAGCCCTGCTGTGAAGCCATGAGCAGATTGTGAAGGTTATCAGAACAAGATTAAGCCAGTGATTCAAATACAGCCACCAAACAACCCAGCAAAAGGATGAAGATATGATTATAGTGTATCTGACAAGGAAGGGACTTTCTAGGGCCTCTGGTCCTGCAGGTAATATAAGGTGCCCACACCTTTGTAACCCATAGGCTTAAGGAGTCCCCAGGCTCCCAGATACCACCTATACCCCAGCCATCTCCTCACCTCTCCCAGCCTCCGAATCTCATGCTGCTTCTTGGGCCTGACATGTTTCCGGAATGGAGCTGTCAGTCGGGAACTCTGGCTGGGGTTCTCCAGGAACTCTGAGGGGGTCTGAAACCCAGGCGTCCGGGTAAAAGCCAGGGCATAGGCTGTGGACTTCAGGGCCAGCAGGGTGAGTGGCCACACCGACCTGTACCTGAGATAGCCCACCCAGGCCCCCAGTGAATAGTCCCATTGCATCCTGAGTGTGCAAGTTTACAACCCAGGAAGCCCTTGTGAGACTCTGAGCAATGGCTCCCTGCAGGGCTCAGCACCAAGTCCCCCAACACAGGTGCCCTCTTGCCCATACCTGGCCACTTCCCCTTCCCCAGGCATCCCCAGCAGCAGTGTGGCCAGCTGTGGCGGGTTCAGTCCATCCAGGGCTTCCTGCCATGAGCAAGGGAGTGTGCCCCATAGGTTGTCTGTGAAAAATTCCTGTAGGGGAAAGCGAGAAGCAATCAACAGGCTACTACTCTTTCCATTCTTCCCCGCCCCGCTCAACACATGGCCACTGGCTGCAACTAACAGGCACCTCTACTCATTGGCTGTCATCTCTTCTCTGAAGCCTGCTCTAGCCTCCCCCTCCTTCCTCTGAGCCCAAATTGCATTCTGGACACACCTCTCCTTTTAGCAGTGTCCCCACTTATTTATGTGTCTGTTTCCTCCACTCAACTAAAGGGCAAGGATGGTGGCTTCACATTTGCATCCTCAACACCACAGTGACTGACACCCAGTATTAGCGTTACCATCTAGTAACCTACCGTTAGATGTGCCAGACATTATATATGTCAGAATGTTGGGTTTTTTTTTTTTTTTTTTTTTTTTTTTTTTTAATTTTTTGGTTTTTTTTTTTTTTTTTTTTTTTTTTTGGCTGAACTGCGTGGTTTGTGGGATCTTAGTTCCCCGACCAGGGATTGAACCCAGGCCCTCGGCAGTGAAAGCGCCGAGTCCTAACCACTGGACCACCAGGGAATTCCCTGCCAGAATGTATTTTTATTCATTCATTTATTCAACACAAATTCTGGAGCTTTGGTTAGGCACCAAGTTCTATCCTAGGCTCAGGGGATACAAACAATGAAGCAGACAGACAAGATCCTTGCTCTTACAGAGCTTACATTTTAAAAAATTATTTCAGATAACATCAAATGCCACATAGACAATAAAACACTAATGAAACAGTAACAATGGAGAGTTTGAGAGAGTACTATTTTAGATAGAGCAATGAGGGAAGACTTGTCTGAGAAGGTGACACTTGAGCTGAGACTTGAATGATGAACAGGAAACAGCACATGTAAAAAAATTCAGGCAGTGGTTGCCAGAGTCAGGGGGTGGGGGTGGGTAAAATGGGTGAGGAGGGTCAAAAGGTACAAACTTCCAGTTACAAAATAAATGTCATGGAGATGTAATGTACACCATAGTGACTATAGTAAATAATACTGTATTGTATACTTGAAAGTTGATGAGAGAAGATCTTAAAAGTTCTCATCACAAGAAAAAAATGTAGCTATGTACGGTGATGGATATTAACTAGAGTTACTGTAATCATTTCATAATATATACAAATCACTATATTATACACCTGAAACTAAAATGTCAATTCTATCTCAATTTTTAAAAATTCAGGTAATAGCAAACACTTACAGAATACTATAATATGCCAGGCACTGTCTGAAACATTTTACGTATATTAATGCATTTAACCCTCACAATTACCCTACGAGATAGTACTATTTTTATCCCCCATTTTACAGATAAGGAAACCAAAGTACAGCAATTAAGTATTCTGTCTAAGTCAAAAAGCTGGTAAGTGGCACAGCTGGGATTTGAAACCAATTTGACTCTGGAGTTCTTGCTCTTAACCACCCTACTCAATTGCCTTTCTGTGGAGGAAGAACATTCCAGGCAGATCAGTAAGTGCAAAGGCCCAGTGTAGTACAGTGAATGTGGGAGAGAATGAAATGTGACGGGGTTTAAAAGAGAGCAGGGGACAGATCATGTAGGGTTTTATAGGTAATGGTAAAGAATTACGATTTCATCAAAGTACCTAAGAAGCAAGGAAGTGTCCTGGTGAGATTTACATTTTTAAAAGATTAATCTGGCTGTTTTGTGAAGAACTGGGTATGGAGGAGAGGAAGCAAACACAGAGATCAGTTAGGAAGTAGTCCAGGAGAGAGATGATGTTGGCTTGTCCTAGGGTGGTAGCAATGGCAATGGAGACAAATGGGTGAATTTGGATCTATTCTGGAAGATGAGCCAATAGGACTTGTTGAAGGGCTGGATCGTAGATCAATGAAGAAAAGAGCTGAATCGAGGATGGCTTCTGGGTTTGGGAGCTGAACAATTCGGTAGATGTTGCTGCCATTTATACATCATCTCATTTATTCTTCACAATGATCCTTCAAAAAGAGATCCATTTTACCGCTCAGGAACTGAGGCTAGGAGGAATGTTTTTTTTTATGCCTAAGGTTAACACAGTAGGGGAGGCAGGATTCTAGTCCAAGTCTGTCAACTCCAAAGTTGGAATTGTCCATTACACTGCAAAGCCAGGAATTTATTCAAAGCTTGAATGAATGAACATGTGTGTTCTCGAAACACCTCACACGTTCCTGGGAGAGTTTAACGTAGCTGCAGCAGCATGGCTCAAATGTCCATGCGTTTTATTACTTTGGACTTGAGAGGGTTAGAAAAACAACCTAGATGCTAAAACTATTAATATTTAGGTCATCTGAAAGAAAAAGAAGGGGGGGCTGCCCCAGCTTTAACCCTTTCTCGTACAGACAAAAGACTGAAGAAACATATTAGAAAAGAGATCAGAAGCTAACTCTACATTCTTCCCCTGTCGTGGCTAGGGAGCCACCCACATAACCAGGAGCACCCCACCCACAACCCTGTGGCCTCACAATGATGTAGGCGTCCAGGATGGAACGGTAGAGCGTCACGACCCGGGTGAGGTTCACAGCTAGCTGCCTCCTCGCTTCGTGAGAGAGGCCCCGGGCGGAGACCCCCGGCATTCCGGGGCCCAGCCGGTGGCGCGGGGAAGGAGGATGCAGTGAGGCGGGAACCTGGGTCAGGACTACGCGGGTCCGGGACCCGGGCTTGGCTCAGCCCTGCAGAACCAGAAGAAAGCGCTCAGAGCCCGGTCCCAGACACTGCCTTTCCGGGCTTCGAGGTTGGGGTTGAAGACTTGAGGCGCCCTCCTGACGTCACAGGCCGCGACGTCCCACAGACCGAAGCTGTCAGCATTGGACGCAAACCGGGAGGCGGTGCCAGCGCAGTGACGCCACAGAGGCGTGCCGCGGCGCCCACCTCACGGAGTGGGGCGGGCCAAGTTCCAGGTCCGGCCTCCAGATCCCGCCCCTTCCCATATTCTTCCCTCTTCCAACGGAAGTGAGGCCTGGGGCCTCCGGCACGCTGCAGTGCCAGTTTGTAGCGGTCTCCCCACACCTTCGAATTGTACCTCCACTGGGCTAGAGGGGCCGGGCAGCGCATCCGCCCCCGCCTCCACCCACGCCGCCGCCGCCGCCGCCGCTGCCGCTGCCGCTTCTCACACACTAGGAATCCCTGGCCTCGCTCCCGGAGGCAGGTGCGCTGTGGGTACGCGGGCCCGGCCTCCGGCGCGTTCCCATCCGCTAGCCTGCCGGCTCGGGCCTCGCCTACGCGCGCCAATTTCCGCATCCGGCTCCTGGCGCTTCCGGTCTTAGCTGGGCCCATCTGGGAGGTAGGTGTGTGAGGGTGGGAAGCTGGCTCCGTGGCGTGGACGGCCAGAGTGTGCTGTCCCCAGCCTCGGTTTTCCCCTCCGCTAATATGTGTTGTCAAAGGTCCTTTCTTGGGAGAAGGACTTGAGTGAGCTGCATGTGGGGATTTCCCTCACGTGGAGATGAGGGAAATGGGTGCCTGAATTTCTGTCTCTGTCCTTGGGACCCGCGCTGGGGATGCCTGGGTAATTCAGAGGTCAACTATGCCAAACCTGTGACTGCCTTCGAGCATACTTAGACGTTCCTTCCCTGGGCAAATGATAGAGCTCACCTATTCTGGCGTTCCAGATCACAAGAGTTTCAGCTGGTTGGCCCTGCACCCCCCTCAGTTTACAAATGAGACTGAGATCTAGAGAGGGGAAATGGCCTTCCTAATACCGTACTGCTGGAGAATTGTGGGGCTTCCCTGGAACCCAGGCTTCCTGGTTCAGAAGGAAGTCCTCCTTCCATCATTTCACATTTCACGTTATCTGAGAGGTTACTCTGATGTCTTTCCTCTCTCCTTTAAGTCCTACGGAGATGGGTCTTATCTTACTGGTTCCCAGGCCTATGGACTCCGTTATCAGGATCATTTTCTTCCCCAGGGTATACTACAAACCTCCAGGTCTTGGCCTATGGGATTCAGCAGAGGATGACTTGTCCATCCTCTCATTGGTAAGCTGTTTTTCCCAACTGTTCTCCCACCATCCACCGTCATCATGTCTACCTTACTCCTCAATCTGGATTTTGGCGAACCTCCCCCCAGAAGGGCATTAGAAGGCAATGCCAAGCACCAAAAATTTGTCAAGAAGCGGCGGCTCTTGGAACGGAAAGGCTTTCTGAATAAGAAGCAGCAGCCCCCTAGCAAGGTCCCTAAGTTGCACTCAGAACCTTCAAAGAAAGGGGACACTCCCAAGGTGGATGGCACTTGGAAGGCCCCTCCCCTTCCAAAAAAGAAGACTGCTGCTTCCAGCAGTGGGTCAGAGCAGTCCCTGGACAAGAAATCTGCAGTGCCTTGGCTGACCCCTGCTCCTTCACAGAAAGCTGGTTCTGTTGTGGCTAAAGTAGATTTGCTGGGGGAGTTCCAGAGTGCCCTACCAAAGATCAAGAGCCTCCCAATTCGCCCCCAGAAGAAGGGCTCCCAGAAGAGCCCTCCTCAGAAGACTGCCCCACAGATCTCCACCCAAGCTCACTCAGAGAATAAATACCCTGGAGCATCCCAGAAGATGCCAACGAAGATGGTGGCAATTGACTGTGAGATGGTGGGCACAGGACCCAAGGGGCATGTCAGTTCCTTGGCTCGATGTAGCATTGTCAGCTACAGCGGAGATGTGCTTTATGATGAGTACATCCTTCCCCCCTGCCACATTGTGGACTACCGGACCAGATGGAGCGGTATCCGGAAGCAGCACATGGTGAATGCCACACCCTTCAAGATTGCTCGGAGCCAGGTGAGAGGCATGGGAGATGGTGGTAGCAGCGGGGTGGGTGGGGAGAGGTCCAAATCATTTTTCTGCAAAGAATATCACCCTGGGGAGGCGCCGAAGGATTGTGGAGGGAGGGATGGAGTGGGTGGAGTAGCAGATGAAGAAGGCTTTCTGTTGGGATAAGGAGTGGTGAGAGTCTGGAAAGTTACAATTAGCGGGTGTAACGAACTTTATTAGTTAAGATCTTTTAGGTCCCAAGTGGAATCCTCATCTGGAGAACTGGGAATCTGCTAGAGAAATAACAGCCAGTGATGGACAGAGCAACAGGCATGAGTGCCAGGGGGAAAGGGCTCAGTTTGAGAATGCCTTGTAGAGGTGGGGTCTAGGGTTGAGAATAGAGAGGTAGAGAGGGCTTCCCAAGCAAGAAGTAGCCTGTGGCAATGTGGAAAGTTGGTGGTAGGAGAAGGCAGAACATTGACAGAAGGAGCTGGGGCATATTTATATAACTGGAACAGGTAGCCTGCAGTGGAGGGGATAAAAGACACCGGGCTGGTATGTTGGGGTTCTCATCTCACTCACTGAGCAAACCTAGCCACTGTAAGTCCTATGCTGAATACTGGAGCCACAACAAATGAACAGGAAAGGAGGGTGAGCTGGTAAACGTGAAGGGGAAGGGAGCCTGCTGGTCTTGGAAGGCCTCCAGAGGGCGCCTTCGGTCCACTTCTTTGTAATTTCAGCTCCACATTCTTTGCCTTCTCTAGACGCACACTGTTCCAATAATTCCTCATATGCCAGAGCAGTCAGTTGGAGGAATTCCATCAGAGGTGGAATAGCTGGATTTTAGAAAGAACTTGAAGAGTTGAAGAACATCCTGTGCACCAGGGGCATAGCTGAGCAAAGGCTTGGGAGAGGCAGAAGATGGGGTGGGCCTGAAACAGCAAATCCACTTAGCTTTAAGGCAGGCCATATGTTGAAATTAATGCGAAGTAAAGGTGTTAGTGGTCAGTAAACTGCAGGTGCAGTTAGGAGCAACTGAATACCAAGTTGATTGGACTATATCTGGCTTTCATCATAAAAACCAGTGCCCAAGCTGGGGTATGAGACTAAGGTACATTCAAATGAGTCTTTTCCCTTCCAAGGGGTCCCATTGGGAGGCCAGGCATTGATTCCAGCCCTGTTGCTCTTGTTCACAATCTGTTTGGAACCCCATTTTGGTAATGGCCTTCAGAGCTCATGACATATTCTTTAGTTATCCTCATTGGCAGTGTGTCCTTATGCTTTAAGATTCTGAAATGGTGAGAAATTATTTGGTTCCAAGAATGGTGTGAATAAGGTTCCTGACCAGCTGGTAAATACCCTGTGGTTATGAGCAGGAGGAGCTATGAAGCGCCGGGACTGATTTCTTGTTAAAGCAGCATAAGCATGGGCTCTTGATCACTTCCCTCTGCAGCCTTGGTCTATAAATGATTCTTAATCTTTTTCTTTTTTGAGGTGGGGCGCTGTGCCTCACAGCTTGCAGGATCTTAGTTCCCTAACCAGGGATCGAACCCCGGCCCCAGGCAGTGAGCGTGCCGAGTCCTAACCACTAGACTGCCAAGGAACTCCCAATTCTTAATCTTTTATGGCTTGTAGGCTCTTTGAGGATCTGATGAAAGCCATGGACCCCCCCCCCAAAAAAAGGGCAAACATATGCATATCTATTTGCATATAATTTGGGGCTTCCAGTACCTTCCTGGAGCCCATCTTTAACAACATTTGTCCCAGCCTATGTCTAAGGCCAACATAATGATCATGGTTAAAGAACTTCAGGTATCAAGCCAGGACTGAACTAGGTAGTTACATGAACATCACATTGGGGTAGAAATTAATGTGAAGATAAGGTGCCACTGGTGATGTAAATCCAAACAGGGTTACACCATAGAAAATACCTACTTTTACCTTGGGGAGAGGAGATAGATTTCAGGTGAAAGAAAACTTGTGGAAGAGGGCATTTCAAGGATGAGGCAGGTGGGCAATTGGTGAAAAGAACCTAGAAGGACTTAAACAGCCATGTTGGGCTTTGAAGATGCAGGGGCTACATCTTTGAGTGCTGTTCCTCACCACCTCTTCTCCCATGCCTGTTTCAGATCTTGAAGATTCTCACAGGGAAGATAGTGGTGGGGCATGCCATCCACAATGACTTCAAAGCCCTTCAGTATTTTCACCCTAAGTCCCTAACCCGAGATACCTCCCATATCCCCCTCCTCAACCGTAAGGCCGACTGCCCAGAGAATGCAACCATGTCTCTGAAGCATCTCACCAAGAAGCTGCTGAGCCGGGACATCCAGGTAGCGTCTTCCCAAATGCTGCCAGACCTCTGGCCTGGACACTGAAGGCTCTCCTGCTGCCTTTCTCCAGGCTCTGACCCTCAAATTCCTCTGGCTGTAGAGAGATCTGGGTGGGATGCTCTGATGGGAAGAGCTTTGGGCAAAGGGGTCCATCTCTACATAGGGATAACTATTCCTGTTCTCTACCTCCCAGAGTGTTCCAAAGGATACTTGGAAAAGGAAAAAAGCCTGAAAGTGGGGATAAAACCCTAACTAAGAAAAGTAGAAAGCAGGTAGTTGTGGTGGTCTAAAAGACCACGTAGTGGATGCAAGAGGCTCTTATGTATTTCCTATGTTTGGCAGTCAAAGAGGGGATGGCCTGCCTGGCATGAGGCTGTAGACACATGTCATATACAGATCAGTTAAGGAACTGGGGAAGGTGGAAGACTCAGAAGGCCTGTCTATGATCTGGTTTGTTCTGCCTCTACAGAAGAATGTAGAACAATAGGGTATGTACATGTTGCTACAGAAAGGATTGACGCAGACAGTAGCATAGGAGTTGAACCCCTGAAATTAGATAAGGAGTAGGGCCTCACCAGAGGTCCACCTTTGTAGCCCGCTAACTGCAGAAGCAGCAGCATCAGTGGGTTGGAGGGAGCCAGTTGGGAAGGGAAGAAACAGTCTCTTGTAGCTTCATGTCCTTCTCTTCCTCCCTTTTCTTCCTTCTCTCAGGTTGGGAAGAGCGGGCATTCCTCTGTGGAAGATGCTCAGGCCACCATGGAGCTGTACAAGTTGGTTGAAGTTGAGTGGGAACAGCACCTGGCCCAGAATCCCCCAAAAGACTAGTTCCATGGGGACACTGGTAATGTGGGGAGGCAGAGGCAGCACCACACCCAGGAGAACAGGGCAGTGGACCAGTGGACAGCTCTACCAGCTCTACACCTTTGGAAACTAGAGTTGTTGGGGAGACTGAGGCTCCACCCCAGACTTAAAATCCATTAAAATTTCACCTCAGGTGTTGTTAAGTGTTCCATGGAAGGAGGAAGGCTCCATGTCAGAACCCAGCCCTGTAGGCTGTTTACCTCTTAAATGGTGCTAACCATGGGTTCCAGGGTGCTTTGCTCCTGGGAAAGCCTTTTGACTTTCAAGGGGCAGGGCATACTGGGAAGTGTAGTTTCCCAAACTGCCTTATCACTAGGGTGACCATTATCACTAGGGTCTCATTTTATGCCTTTTGTTCTCAAATAATTAGCAGCACCGTGTTGAACTTTCCAAAAGTATCCTGCTGGATGATAACTTGTATGATCACAGTTTCTCTCAGACTTTTTTTGGCTCAGAGTCTACATCCAGTCTGTGTTGGGATTTCACCTGTTCTTTCCACCTTGACTTCCAGAGGAGCCATCCCTGGTGAGGTTTAGTTCTTAGGGTTACAAGGCAGTAGAGGTAAGAGAGTGTGACTTGGAAATCAATTTTTCGGATTTAGGAAAGCAGCCTCTTTCCTAAAGTGATAGAGGATTTATTTAATTTAGACCCCACTTGGAAGGTTAAAGAAGAATTCAAAGTGTTTTAATGGTTTTTAGTCTTTTACTTTGCTAAACCAAGCCTTTTAAAACTCAAATTATTCCCTTGATAAATTTTTATAAAGGAAAAACAATTGTGTGATGTTTTCTTTATAACTTCACATTAAATAGCTTTGTCACAGGATCCTGTAGAGCTATAATTCTGATAGGGGGTCCAGGGTCTGTGTGAATGACACTAACTGGGCCCTGGTTTGCTGGAAGTCATCAAGAAGCGCTGACCAAGCCTTTGTGTGTAGCCCATGTGCTCTGCTGCCTTGTCCTCGTCCCTACCACAAGTCAACGAGCACACCTAAAGTGACACCCCAAGCCATGCGAACACCCTCACACAGAGGGTATGTGACCAGGAGAGTGACTCAGAGAGCGGGCGGGCAGGAGGGATGGAGCCGGGGAAGAAGGGTGCTTCATGACGCCGGCCTGGTCGCTCCTGCCAGCTCTTCCTCGGTGGTATACACCCTCATGTTGGGAAGGTGAATCACAGGTCTGACTTTGTATCTGGGATCACTGCACTCTGTCTTGAGAGAATGCAGACTCCATGTATACACCAAGGCTTGTGCCCTCTTGAGTGGCTAGTTTGGCTCCAGGGTCCAGAGTCACAGTCATGGCTGCCTATAGAAGGGAATTTCCTGCAGCCAAACTGGACCCCAGATGTGGTCTTGCTGTTGTGTGTCCTGCGCTACAGGATCTGCTTGCACAGGCAGCTGTTGAGCTCTGAGCAAGTTGGTTCCTGTTGAACCCAACATATGTAGTGTCCATGACACTTCACAAAGAGGTGCTAGGCATCCTTACACACCTCTAAGCGGGATTAATCAAGGAAGCCTACACCAAAAAGTGGGGATACAAGTCTTAATTGAAATGAAGGGGAGTCTTACTTACATTGTGATCAGTAAACTAGAATATATGTGGAAAATTCTCATTCGAGTTCAAGTTTTAGGGTACCTGGCTTTGTAATTTATTCCACTGAAGTATAGTTGATTTACAATGTTGTGTTAATTTCTGATGTACAGCAAAGTGATTCAGTTATACATGTATATATACATTCTTTTTCATATTCTTTTCCATATTGTAATTTATCGCAGGATATTGAATATAGTTCCCTGTGCTATACAGTAGGACCTTGTTTATCCATACTATATATAACAGTTTGCATTTGCTAATCCAAACTCCCAATCCATCCCTTCCCCACCCCGCTTCCCCTTGGCAACCACAAGTCTGTTCTCTATTCTGAGTCTGTTTCTTTTTCATAGATAAGTTCATTTGTGTCATAGTTTAGATTCCACATGTAAGTGATAGCATATGGTATTCGTCTTTCTCTTTCTGGCTTACTTCACTTAGTGTGATAATCTCTAGGTCCATCCATGTGAGTAGCAACTGGCTTCTATGCTCCACTTCACCCCCCACTCAGGTGCCCTCAGTCCAGCATTGGGAAGAGCTCAGTCTCACTTTAGCTCACCAGGAAGAACCTGGAGACCAGAGGACCTTGCAGACATTTTCTTACTCTTCTCTTATCACACTTCCTGGTCAGAGCCCAGCTCACCCTGCAAGGTGCCTGGGGATCCCTGTACTTTATTATTATATTTTTAATAAATTTATTTATTTATTTATTTATTTATGGCTGCGTTGGGTCTTTGTTGCTGCAAGCAGGGGCTACTCTTCATTGTGGTGCACGGGCTTCTCGTTGGGGTGGCTTCTCGTTGCGGAGCACGGGCTCTAGGCGTGCAGGCTTCAGTAGTTGTGGCCCGTGGGCTCTAGATCACAGACTTAGTTGCTCCGCGGCATGTGGGATCTTCCTGGACCAGGGCTTAAACCCATGTCCCCTGCATTCGCAGGTAGATTCTTAACCACTGCACCACCAGGGAAGTCCTGGGGATCCCTGTATTTTAATCCCCTCTTTCTCTGCCCCTCTGTTCCCAGCCTTCATCCAACTGATGACAGATAAGCCCCATTGCAGATTACTATGGAAATAGCAATCAGCAAGTCCTGTTTTGTCTTGGGTATTAAGGCTCTTCAGAGTGGAGCATACGTATAACAAAACACATGCTCTTCCAATAGCTTTCTTTTCATAGCATAATAATGTTTTCTAATGCCAAGACCCCCTTCCGCAGATGAGAATGATAAAGGGAAAAGAGTGTGAGAAGTGTTATCATGCCAAACACATTACTGATCTTAAAATTCCATGTAACAAAGTGATTCTCAGAAGGGTAAGGGGGGATGTATTTTGAAATTTCAGGTGATAGCACTGCCATTCTCTCCACCCTTAAGAACCACTGATTGAGGGAATTCCCTGGCCGTCCTGTTAACCACTGGACTCTGCACTCTCACTGTCGAGGTCGTGGGTTCAATCCCTGGTTGGAGAACTAAGATCCCACAAGTCACACGGTGTGGCCAAAAGAAAAAAAAAGAACCACTGATCGAGCTAAGGCTCTAAAGGAATCATTTGATTCCTAGTTTAACAGATGGTTACAGCTGACGATAGGAAAGATGAACAGCACTGTAATTATGAACTTACCCCAAGGCACATTAGCACAAGTCCAAGTTTAGAGACACAAATTCCCATGTATGCAATATGCCAAGTGCATTTATGAATATCCTACGTCTACAGTCTACGTATTATTGTTCACAGTGCTCTTTCATTTACCCTGTAATTAAGGGCAAGTCCACAAAACAGCCCATAACAGCATTTTATTGTTGTATTGATACTAGGTTTTAAGTTTGATCTCGCCACTTACTAAATTTGTGATGGTCAGTCAGTTTGTTTCTTGGAGCCCCAGTGGTTCTAGCATTAAAATTCTGGGGTTCTCTTCTAACCTTGACGTTTAACTGATGGTTGCTGTCATTAATAATAATAATGGCAACCATTTATTGAGTTCTTCTCTGTGTCAGGCACTGTGCTGAGTCCTTTAGGAGCATTGTCCCATTCTCTGTAAGGTAGGTGGAGGTATTCCCATTTAACAGTTGAGGAAACTGAGGCTGACAAAAAGGAAGAAATATTCCCCAGGCCAAATAGCTGGAGGTTGGTGGTGCTGGCATTCAGACCTGCCAAGTCTGCCTGTCTGAAGCCTCTGCTCTTAACCACTGCCCTGCTTCGCTGTTAACACATTCAGGCAGCACCTGCTGAGGCTTGGAATCCTTCCACTCAAGTGTTTATTAAACACCTGCTATGTGCCAGGCATTGTGCTAGGCACAGAGAAACGGCATGTGACCCCGAGTTGCTTACAGCAACCTGAAGAAGAGAAACCAGTAAACTAATTTCAATTTAAATTTAAATCCTGCAAGGATTTAAAAGCAGGGGAGTGATGTGGTCAGATCTGGGTTTTAGGAAGACGATGCTGGCAGCCCAATGGAAGCAGGATTGGGGAAGGGCCAGGAGCTGAGTTCTTCTGTTTGACTAATTCGATGAGCAGTGATGGAGTCCTGAATTAATGAAGTGGGAAGATGCATATGATCATCACTGAGGAGGTAGAATCAGTAAGACTTAGAGATCAGGGCACGAGGATTAAAGGTTGCCTTGATATTTCTGAATTACAGTGAATAGACAACAGTGGTGCCGTTCACCAAGACAGAGAATATGGTGGGCAGAAGAGCAGGTTTTTGAGGAGGATGACTTGGGTATTGACTGACTTGACTTTGAGCTGCCTGAAGATACCCAAATGGAGATGTCCAGCCAGCAGCTGGATGTACCAGACTGGAGTTTAGCAGAGTAAAAGAGATCTGGGGCCGGAAACTAAGGCTTAGAGACAAGAGTGTAGCAGTGGGATGGAAGCCTTGGATTGGAACGAAGCCTTTATACATAAAGGTATAAAGAGCAACAGAAGGTCAAAATCAAAGTCTCAGGAAGTACCCATCCTTATAAGCTGCTGGAAGAAGAGAGGTCTGAGAGAGGGCTATTGGGTAAGAGGACAGCTAAGGAGAATCCCCAGGAGGGAGGAGATAGAATTAACAGCACGGAGAGCCAGTAAGCTGAGAGCAAAGAAAAGGGTCTATTTTGTAGCGATTTGGTGCCCTTCATCTCAGCAATGTCTGTGGTGGTGGGGGGGAAGGCGGCAGAAGCTCAGCTGAGGTGGGCTGGAGAATAAATTGGAGGTGAGGAAGGAGATGAGTGGGTGTGGACTGCTCTTTCTTGGCTCTGAAGAAAAGCAGGTGAAGGTTGCTGTAGGAGTGAGAAGTCTTAGGATACCAATGGACAAAGCCAGTAGAGCATAAGGTGGCTCACGAGGGGGCAGGTGAAGTAAGCTACAGGGGATCCTGAAAGAGTAGGGGGAAGGGATGCCAAGCTTAGCCTTGGCCAGCAATAGGGATCCCTTGTCTTCTGGGACAGAAAGGAAAAAGGAACGGGTAGGGCAGATGGAGATGGTTTGGGATGATGGTGGAATAAAGTGATTATCACCTGGTGACCTCGATTGCTCATTAAATGGGAGGCAGAGTGGTCTGCTGAGTATGAGGGGGAAGTCAGGGGACAGGAGCTTGGGAAGAATAAAGACGGTTTGCAGCAGCCACTGAGAAGACGGGAGAGCCAGCCGACCGAGAACACAAGGAAGGGCCTCTGAGCAACGGCAGAGTTCCTGATTGAGGTCAGAACCTGAATTTGCAGGAGCACTGCAAGCTGCTTGTCACAGTTTTTTCTAGCATCACTCGGCAGCCCAAACAGAGAAGTGGAGAGTTTAAATGCTTGCGGCTGCATAGGCCGCAATGGGAGGACAGTGTGTGGTCCTGGAGGTGAGTGTCTGAACTGAGATGGAGATAAGATTGTTGGAGTCCATGGAGTCAAGGACCTGAGAGGCTGACCTGTTGAGTAAGCGCTGGAAGCCCCCAGGTGGCTGGCCGTAGGATTACATACCTATATATATATCTGTACCTATATCTATAGATAGATAGATTTCTTTTTGGTTGCACTGCACGGCACGTGGGATCTTAGTTCCCTAACTAGGGATCAAACCCGTGCCCCCTACGGTGGAAGCGTGGAGTCCTAACCACAGGACCTCCAGGGAACTCCCCGGCAGCAGGATTAGAAACAGGAGGATAGGGAGCCTGAGCTAGATCCTTAGGGACCTGAGGTAGATAGATGCAGCAAACA